TTTAGCAAGTGTCCACAGATTCTTCCCTTTTGGGACTTTCTTCTACAAGAAAATATTATAAATGGTCAATCATTCTTTTTGAAGATGATGATGAAGAATTCAGGAATATCAGCTGCTACAATTTGTCAGATAATCTTGACTTTTTAACAGAATTCAGTGGAATTTTCTCATAGCACTTACTCCAGATAATGAGCTCAGTCATGAGATTTCTGTCTTCAGCAGTCTGAACATGGTTTCACTGTATTATATTTTTCCTTCAGCAGTTGTTCAGTATGATTATTAGATATTTACCAGTGTAAAATCCTTTATATTTTAGTGGATACTTAACACTGTTGGTTTTATCCTTAAGATTTTAAAATCACTGCTACTGGGTTTTTTTCATGGTTTTCCCTGAAATACTGTATATTCTGCAGAGTTCTTTATGCAAGCCTCTTTTAGCAACAACTGATTCTCATAAACTAGCATTATGTCTTAGAATCTCACTCAGTTATTCTCAACCTACGGTGGGACATAATGTGATGTCTTTTGACTGTTTTAAAAATGTAACATCATAAGAACCCAGACACTTAAAACAGGTATTAAAAAAAACCCAAAAACCAACAACCAAATTTTCAGTGTAAGAACAATAAAATTACAAATTTTTAAACTCAAATGGGATATTTTTATTAGCTCTTTGAAAAATGCGCATTTTCTTTTCTAAACTTTTAAAGTATTGAAGATATATATATATACATATATGCAATATATACTACGTATAATATTAGCAGAGAACCTAACAATGCTAAATGATTTTAAAGGTAAAGGAAACAGGAAGAAAGAACTCCATCTAATAACAAGAGTTATCTGAAGAAAGTAATTTTCAAGTGAATTGCAGCTTTTATCTGCTACTGTGTAGAAATGTTGAGAAATGTGAATTAGAACGTGGGAGCTGACAATGGCTACAGAGCAGGATGTTTGAGACACAGTAAAAGTCTGTGGGCAATTTATGTTGGTATGCTACACACAAATGGCTATCCTCAAAGGTGTCTGAATTCAAGGAGGGACTGGCTCCCCAATATACAGTGAAGAACAGATTTGTTTAACTTTTTCTCCTACAGGAAGAAGAAACAAAGTAATATGAACAAAGGAGATAACAGTAGCAGCAAACCTATAAAGCTACTGTCATAGATTAAATTCATTAAAAATGAGGTCCAGGCAATAATTCATCGATAGCTTCTATTCACTTCAGGAACTGCTTATCAGAAAACACAAGTTAGCCATCAGTGATTAAGAGCAGTGCTATTATAACAGAAACTATATCCCTATCCAGTTTGTCACTTCATCTTGAAAATATTAATATGTCTTACTGAGGAACTTTTGTTTAATCTCATGGCTGCTACCTGTCTGTTGGAGGTACTGTTGTCTGTCTGAGAGGATAATTAGATGGGTGAAGGACAATAAAACAGAAGGGGACTCTGTTAGGAAAATTGAACACTGAACAATTATGTTCCTAATAGATTTGCTTGAACTAATGGCAACCTATTTTAATTTGAGACTACTTAGAAGTACAACTTCTGTAGTTTTTGTTTTTCTTAATATGTAAAGAAAAGATGTATTCTGAGAGTCAACTTATTGTGCAATTCAGAGAACTGGACAATAGCAGGAAAAATGGACTCAAGGTATCAGTGAAGCATTGGGACAGGACCTTTAAGGTGCTGCAGACTCAGAGCCTGCCTGCTGTTTCAGAAGGGACCTGATACACTTGGCTGTGGGGGAGCCCTGAAAATTTTACTACTAACTTCACTGTGGAAGAGACATATAGTTATCTTTTTATATAAAGCAGGTTTACTATCCAGATGCTTTGCAGAACATAGGTACCGTTAATTACTGAGAGATTAATTTGATCCTTGTACTTAACCCTCTGACAAAATGAGATTTTATATCAAATGAGAGAGACTGGGAGAGAGCTCTCTCTTTTTAATATCGTGCCTTATACAGTTCATCAGCTTTACAGATTAGAAATCTGACAGCTCTTAATGTCTCCTAGTATATTGCACTGGCTACTCCACAGCCACAGCTACTGACAGATATGCTTTAGTTTTTATAATGCTTAGGAAATAAGTGGTTGAAGTCTGCACTGCTGTTTCTCCAGCACCACACGAAGTTCCAAATCCTCACAGAAACACTGCTGCAGTGCTGCAGATAAACACTGCACAGTAACAGACTGTACTCTCCCAGAGCTCAGTGTTTTGTACTGTATAATCATGACATCTATAGCTGCAAGCTGATAAACTAGCATCATCTCTCCAAAACACTAGCAATGTCATTCAGACATGATATATTGTCATGCATCCCTTGTCCCCACCCCACACTTCATTTTGCAACATGCCGTGTACTCTCTATATAGCCAGACCTGAACAATTCTTTATTCTGTGGGTGAAAAAAAATCATGGTACAATTCTCTTATTTCTTTCTTTTCTCTGTTTCTTAACTTGTACCAACTTGCAATAATTCAGTCTCTTGTACCAACTTGCATTAATTCAGAATTCCCAACTTTATATTGCTGTCTGTAAGCCCTTGAACAGACCTGGTGATACAATGCCCAACACCAAGAAAAGGTGGCTGAAAATTTTCTTTTCAATGTCATTCAGCACAAATGCAGTGACAACTTGACCACAAAGTTCTCATGTGCATGGACTTACTGGAATTTATTTTAGTTGGCATTTTAGTAGCTATGTAAATTTTTTCTGCTGTTCTTCTATCTAGATGTTATGGTGCCCTGAATCAAAATTCTCAAGTGTAATGAGTGTTGCATGGTCTACAAAGGCACACAGTGCACTGATTAATCAAGCCCTTTGGCTTTTTGTGTTTTTCACTGTCCATCTTGCCAATTAAAGACTTCTAAGGAGCTTGAAGCAATGCTTAGTATAAAATTACATACCTTCTCAGAGTGTAATTCTAAATCTGAGTAAATGAGAGGCATATTTCTGGGAAATGTTCTGCGCATAAGTTCAAAGACATTTAAACGGCAGTGTTAGATTTTATTTGTTTATTTTAATTCTGAGAAAACAACAAAAGATTCAAGTGTCAGACCAAGCTTTCAAAATGTTACTGGAGGTAGATGAAGGAACGCTGTCTTGCCTTGCCATGTCTTGTCTTGCTTTGCTTTACTTTACCTTTCCCTTCCCTTTTCCCCAGTAAGACTGTACCATTGCGGCTGTCATGGCCAGAGCCTTTTAAAACCTGCCATGTCCTATTGTCTGTGCCAGCAAGTCACTCCCAGCCTTTAAAGCTCCTTCCCCTTTGCTGACTTCCAAGAAGCTTTCAGGGGGTTCTCCCAGTCTAATGTGTATAATAGCCATCACCTGTCCGACCCTGATTTAAGTGCAGACGAAGTGAACTGGAAGTCTGCAGACTCTGTCATTGAATTGGTTCCTAAAGGTAAAATTTCTTATAATGTGAAAAATGCTGTGGGATAGAAGAAGCTGTAAAGAATCTTAAGGTCACCCACTGTCCTTTAAATTCATGCTATAGTATAGAACTGCAGCTTGTGACTCTTTAGTCTGCTGAAACATTTCTTTCTTTAAACCTGTTTTTATTCTTTAAAAGTTGAGTGTTATGTAGTTACAGCATGGCACGTACCAGTTTATCTCTGCTCTTCCCACATTTTCTAGTACTTTCCATTCTGTTGAACTAATGAATTGCTTAATAAATATTGACCACTGTAGTGCGCATAAATCTGTGAAAGTATGTTACTAGATTAACAAGCTTTCTGTGATCTTAACAAAGTTCAACAAAATACCAAAGAGAGAATTTTCCCTCAGTATTAAAGTTCTGAGAAATGTAAATTACTGATGACTATGTTTTTCCAATGTTTGTATAGTCTCAAGCGGACAGGTAATCTGATATCATAGACCTCATCTATTTAGTATCCTAGTTCTATTAAGAATAAAATGCAGATTTTTTAACTCTAATTAATTATTCTTTAATCCATTTTTGGAGAGTTAATACTTCTTTGACTACAGGAGGGATGTTGTGATTCCATGGAAGTGCCTGTGTGTTCCTACCTTCCCTATCTGTTCTGTAATACGTGAGAAAAAGAGTAGCCATTTTTTACTTACAACTTACTTGTTAAGTATGTTCAGATTCTCCAGTGTACATCCTGTTTGAGAGTGCTTCTTGAATGAACCAACTGATATTTGCATATTCTTATTCCAAAAAATAACTAGGATTTTTTAACAGTGAAAATATGGACTGAAGTTACATTAGGGTGGACAGTTCAGTTTCTGTACAGAGAAAATTAAGCTGAGAAAGAATGACCAACCTATACATGAAGAACTTTGGTTCCCATTTTACAAAACAGAATGTCACCTAAGAATTGCAGTACTGTAACAGTTATTTATATTTGAAAAAAACCATCTAGAGGCCTAAGACAGGAATTTGGCATCCATTATGCCTTTTCATGTCATACCATTTAATAAAATGAGAAACTCTATCTCCAGGTGTTTGCAATGAAAGCATGTGGCAGAGGGCAGCATGTTAATACAAGAAAGAGAGGAAGAGAGAAAAAGGTAACAATGAAATTATTTTGATCAGCAGAATGAGAAGCAGACATGGCCCAGCAGTGAGTAGGTGTGGTCAAGGGACAAAGATACACTTTAATAAGCCTTGAAGAAGACTTAGTAAATATTTATGCAAATCTTCTTAGCACTGTTTATGTAAAAACAAACAGTTCTTTTAAGTTTTCTATGATTTAGTTAATCAGAATTCTTCCAAAGGAATGAAATTATCATAATTATTTCATGAATATATGTAGTATGAAAGAGCCATGTTTTGCTTATTTTTTTTTTTTGCTTGACTTGGTTTTACTCTTTCAGTATACTGCAGTTTCTGCACAGAGTTTCTTTACTGTCTTTATACCAAAAGACTGATTTCCTGTGGTGTAAATTAGAGTTTCCTAAGACTAGGGGATTTTCATTTTGTCATTTTATCACCAGCTGTTTTGTGTCTGTAAATTGCAGGTGAATCTGTCTGGAAAGTCTTCTTCTTCACTCCAAACTTCAGTCCTGAGGACTCCAATGGTTGCTATGATTCTCATGTTTGTTTCTGCCATGGAGGATTCATTACACAACATGATCCCCCACTGCTCTTCGATCTGTCCAGAGACCCTGAAGAGAAAGTCCCACTGACTCCAGAAACTGAGAGCCGTTTCTATGAAATCCTCAGGGTTGTTCACCAAGCAGTAGACAATAACACCAGATCCTTGCAGGCTGTTCCTAACCAGCTGTCATGGGACAACCTTCTCTGGAAGCCATGGCTCCAGCTCTGCTGCTCATCTCTCTTTCAGTCTTGCTATTGTGACTATGACTCAGGAGGGAGTCCACTGGAAGTGCATTCAGGATAAACAAGCTGCAATTCGCTGTCAGAAACTGGAGTGTAGGTGTCTGACTTGAACCACCGTGGTATTAGCCTTCCAAAGGTTTTGTTGTATCGATGAGGACCTGTCTTCAAAGACACATTGCAGTAGAAGAAAATTTCAGTCAAGAAAATGTGCCAAGAAAGGGAGGACGAGACACCGCTTTTCTGCCTTTATCATACAGCATGAAAAACATGTTGCCAACCTCATCTACAAATGAGTAGACTATAGGCGTTTTCTATGTGAGATAATTTTCTAGACCTTCAGCTTCAGCTTCTTTCTTACACAACAAAGAATTTAGCTGTGGTTTCTGGCAATCACAGCTACTAAATGTACACTTTCCTGTCCTTTTTGCTAAGTGTTATCCACCATCAGTAGGACATAGCACTAAGTAATTAAAAAGAGAGAGGTAATAGTGGAGAGGTCCACCTGTGACTGTCATTTGGTAACTGATAGGTTAATAGCAGACTTGCAACATCATCTGTATCAACAAGCATCACGGATTTGAAAAAATTAACAGACTGCCAACAGTCTAACTTTGTATGTGCCATAAAAATGTACAGAGCTATGTAGTGGAAGTCGTTGTGTCCATATTAAAATGATGCTCCCCAGCATCCCTACTGTCCTATTGCATGTCAACAACCTTTGTTTATCAGTTGTGCACTTGAGTGTGTACCATAAGTCTCCATATATCTATAGATATATATATGCGCAAACCAAATTGATAACCCACAAATCCTTCAATCTCTGATGCAAGCACACCTTTATGGTCATAGCCCAATTGATAAAATAAAAGATTGGGTCCATACTTGATATTTGAGTTCCAAATACACGATCCTACAAATATATCTTTCACTATCTATTTACCATATCTATTCTTCCATTGATGAATGTAATCACAAATAAATAAAATTTGGTCTTCCTTTAAATATCTTTGCCATCCTTTAAGATTTCTGAATAGGATCTATCATTTTCTGAAAACAAACTTGGGCTTCAGTACTTAAAGCCAAATATAACAGTCTCTGAGTTCTTAGCAAGGCCTTGGGAAACCTGCTGTTCTCCAGGGCTAATTTCTGTGTCCATTTTTATCTGAATCTTATTCAGGCACATTTTGTTTCCACTCCACAGGCAGACAAACTATTTTCTTTGGAAGACTGTAGATGAAGAAAACATATCAGCAAGATACTAAAATGATTTGATGCCTCATAATGGAATGTGACTTGCTCCTTATCAGAAAGAAACAGTTAATTCCCACATTACAATGTATTAAAACCTGTTTGGTGCAAAAGTGATCTGTGTTGATAGCAATGCAATAGCTTCAGTCAGCCAACATTAAGGTTGTGACCTGGTTCTTGTGAGCTGTTGAAGCCTGTCCTGTAAAATATATTGTGATATATGGTCTATTTCTCTGTCTGTAAAACCTAGGCTTTATTTGATTTTTCTTCTGCAGTTTCATTCCAAATTTCATTCTCCACAATATCCAGATGCCTGTCCTGGGAAATGTACTTTTTCCTTGAAGTCCTATTTTTGATGTTCCACCTTGTGTTTATGATGGTTAGTATGTCCTCTGCCAGCTCTTTGTAGGTGACCAAGTCCCATGTGTACTGATAAAGTTTGTCTGTTCAGATATTTCCCTGATAACCACTCAGGACCATTTACATTGCATCAGGAAAGCTGTAAGATGGGCATTCATATGGTATAGTTCCCTCTGTGCTTTATTTAATTACTGAATGTATTACATAATCTTAGGAAGAAAGATCCCTGCCGTTTGAGTACAAGTATTATTCTGCAGTGCTAGTGGCTGCCTCTAGACGTCATGGCAGGATCCACACATCCCAAATTTATGGTCCTCACCGTGTGGCCGTAGAACCCTTTGGGGCATGGTGCTGGTGCCACTGTGCCTACCCCCGCAGTGGATGAGCAGTCCAGGCTGTGGCTGGGGTGCCAGAGCACCATGGCATGGAGTGATGCTCTTTCCAACTCCTGCAGCTCTGCCACAGCTTACACAAAAAATTTTCAAGCAAGTATTCCTGCTGAAGCATGTGGGAAATATGTAGTGTGTTAGTATACAGTGCTAAATCAGACAAGGTGTTTGGTTTCATTGGATCTATTTTGTTCCCACAGTTTCTGGGCTGTGACCTTAACTAGTATCTCAATTTATACTGTCAAGGACCTTCACATCTATTTCTTTTCATTAGGATGATGCTGCTGCGTTGCTGTTATTTCTTTAATTTTCTTTCTGCAGGTACAAGAATTGTTTGTTCTGTTAGGCACAACAGTTGTTCTGTGCTGCCTGACTGAAGTCCAAAAATGGTAATTTTTCTACTGCTCTGGTTTATTCTTGCCTGAATATGACTTTTCTTTAATACTATCCTTGGCTTTTGTTGTCTTCTTTGTAATCTCCTTTCTTTAAACATCCACATCCCTCAAACATTTTCCATCTATTTCTTTGCCACTCAGTCCATCTGTTTGCTTGTCATAATGATTGTGCTGGTTATTTTACCCTAAACAAGCAGAAAATGAAAAGTGGTCTTTGTCAAAAGATTCAACTGCTAGGGCTCCTTGACTCTGCTAACCTCCTGCTTATTTAAGGTTTAGCAAGGATTAACTTCATATTAGGAAATATAAGAAATTAAAACACAGCCAAGACCCTATGAATAGAAAAAGCTTTTTTTGTGTGTGTGTGTGTGTTGCAAAAGCTTCATATTTTCCAAAACAAAATTTAGTCCAATATTTAATACTTTGACTTAAGCGGTAAAATCTGAAATCCATTTTTAAAATTGTTACTTCAGGAAAGATTCTATTAAGAATAGGGCAGTATTTTTCATACTCTATGTTAATGCTATTTTGTTTAATGCCTAAAATAAACCTTCCCTGTATTGCAAATGTATTATACCTTTCAGTACTGTACCTTCTGTTCTAGCGATGGCATGTCAGATTGTGATAATTAAAGTAGTCTTGTTTATTTGCAACGTAAAATGTGAAGGACAGTATACCATTTGTGTAATGGCACTGCCTGAGCTAACAAGGAAAAGTTTTGTTTTCCACAACAGGTTATTACAGAATCACAGGATCAGAGAATATACCAATTTGGAAGGGACCCATAAAGATCATTGAGTTCAGCTTCTGGCCCTGCACAGGACCATCCCCAGGAGTCACACCATGTGCCAGAGAGTATCATCCAAACACTTCTTGAACTCTGTCAGGCTTGATGCTGTGACCACTTCCTTGTGGAGCCTGTTCCAGTGACCAGTGACTCTCTGGATGAAGAATCTTTTTCTAATATCCAACATAAACCTCCCCTGACACAACTTCAGGCCTTCCCTGGGGTTCTGTCACTGGTCACCACAGAGAAAGAGATCAGTACCTGCCCCTCCTCTTCCCTTCATGAGGAAGTTGTAGATGGCAATGAGATCTCCCTTCAGTCTGTTCCCCTCCAGGCTTTTTTTTTTTTTTTTTTTTTTATGGAATGTACATGATTCACAATTTATTAACAAAGAAGGCTCAAACAGAATGTGCTGCTCTGGTACTTTGAGACTGACTTTCAATCTATCATTTAATGATCAGTGTTGTACCATAGTGCCTGTTTTTAGGATGTGTCAGTTTAAACTGAGAGTTAAGCTTCAGAGAAAAGTGTATTCCTCTGTTGTACTGTTTTACAGTATCACATCCTGGTTAGTCACAGAGTCCCTGTATGGCACAGAGCAAGTAATTTAACTTTGTTTTTCAGTTCCTCCACTGTGCCCAAAAAGGATAACAGTATTTCTCTAACTGTTGGGAATACTGAAAGAACAAACGATGTTGAAGGTGCACTTTCCAGTCAATAAGGCACCTTCTCTACAGAAGGTACAATTTAAATGCTGGAAAAGTATGATGTAGAAGATTCCCCTTTACGAGGAGGTATTCAATGTCCTTACCTTGAGGACTGTGAGTCCTGTGTGTACTGTTTAGCACATGTGGGATCAGAGTCTAGAGGAGAGAGAATAGATGGCTAAAAAAGATACACACTGGGGATTCAGAAAAAGTTATGTCACATTTTTCTAATTATATTTATTCTCTTTTTTAGAAGTCACAGGTGACTATGTGGAATAATAAAAAATGTTTCCCCCTCAGGGACTGTAAGTCACAGATTCTAGACTCTTAAAAATAGAGATGTCCTGACTTACCTCAAATTACTGTCAGAAAATGAAAAAATAAAAAAAAGAAAAAGGGAAATAAAAGCCTTTGGAGATAGGTGTCAGCTCACTGAAATCCAACTGAAAGTTTGCAGAGAACTAGGTGAATATGGTCTGTATCCTCCATAGCTCAGTGAAAATCATCACTTGCCAGCAATAGTTTCTTTCACACTGCAGTAATGTGAGATCTGGGTGTTCAGATATGTGAACAATGTAAAAATTTCACATATCACCTGATATAGAAACAAATGGAAAAAGAAAGAAACCAAGTGTAAGCATAGCTACAAAAAGTCTAGGTTCCAATAGATGGAACAATGTTTTATTATATGTTTAATTATTTAATATATGTTTATGACTTAAATTAGCACAATGGTTTTGACTTTAACATTAGGACATAATAGTTCTGTGCTTTTCATATTCTCTGTCATTTGCCTTTCCTCTGGCATTGCCTGTGCAGCATTGGAAAGACACTCTGAGGAGCAAGAAGCATCCACCCTGCCCTTGTACACTACAAGCAGTGTGGGCAGGAGGAAATACAGAGTAGGCAAAACTCTGCACTAGGAACTACTGGGAAGCAAACGGTGTCTGGAGATTAGCTCCAGCCTCAGGACAGAGGCTTGCAAATTGCTGGTTTCTCTGGGTCTGTCAAGGACTGCAGGTGACTGCGGGAGGAAGGAGGTGGCATCTCTGGGCAGCTGGACTGCAGTGTGTTCTGCAGCAGTATCCTTCAGTGTCAGGCTGTCGTGTGGAAATTAGTTGGGAGCCCACAGGATGCAGGACCCCTTGCCTCTGAATAAATACACCAAACAGGCTGCTCCTGAGTCATCATGCAGATGACAGATCTTAGTCTGACGCTCTGGCTCTAAGAGAGCAGCAGTCTCACGTTTTGTTCCCTGGAAAACCAGAAGACCTGAACCAGGCTTTAGGGACTCCCAGTTTGCAGGACACTAAAACTGAAAATAATTCAGAGAGTCCTGGAAACACACTGGCAGATCATATGGCATTTCCAAAACATTTTGCTGTTCTTGGTACCTTTTATTTACATCAAAAACAGTAAGAATCTGTCTAAAACTTCACCTTTGTTGTACAGCAAACAAAGGATATTGCAAATTTTTTCTTAAGACCCCCAACAATAGCTTTAACCTGCAAGTTCGAAACTGAGAACGATGAGTTTGTGCCAACAAAAGGTGCAGGAACTGAAGGGTTTTTTTGCAAATGGAAAAATGCTGAATTCCAGACTCCCACTATAACTTGCGCTATTCTGATTGGTAAGATAAAGACTGGTTTGATTATCCACACATCTCTAATTGTACTGTCAAAGTTATGAAACATTGTAGAATTTGGGGGATGTGGATTCTAGGCTTTGCAATGCTTATGCAGCATCTCCCAAATATCTAAAAAACATTCCTATTAACGAGTAGATCATGCTAGGTTCCCTGTGTAGATTGATGTTGGTCTTATCTATAAAAGAATGGTGTTGCAGGTACTTCCTTGGAAAATAAAACCATATATGAAGATAACAGATTCAGCATGTGTGGTCAGCTCAGTTATATAAAAACCCTAAAGCATTATTTATTCTACAGTTATACAATAAAGCCTTTTAATGCAGATAATATTTTATTATGCCTGATTTATGTGAAAAATGCTGTGAAGTAATTTAAATTATAAGGCAGAGCTCTTAATTTTTACACTTATTTTAAGAGAAATCAATATGAAGTTGCTTTGGGTAGCAATATTTATTACAAAAGATTATATACAAAGCATCTCAAAAGCCTTATGGACTGAAGTTGGGCTGCAAGAGAATAACTTTGGTTTAATTTGGTCTTCATTGCTCATAAATGAAAAAAACAAATTATGAAGAAAAAACTCCAACTTTAAAAATAGTTTACCTGTGCTTTCAGTGATGAAAAGAATACTAGAAGTTTATACCATGCATGAGAATTTCTTTCATTTTTTTCCTTACTGTTATCTTTTATGCTATAACTCCTCCTGCCAAACAGACAAAATATTCAGGTTTAGAAAAATGTGCTGATTGGTTTGTAATTCTCACCCTTACATTGTCTTATGTAATGCATTGGGAAGCAACTGATTAATGCCAGTGTTCTGATAACTGTTTAAACTTCAGAGAGTATATTAGAATAGGAATTTTAGATCCTAACACTTCCCTATCTGATACATATGAAAAACACAATCATCCAATGACATGTCATCACTCACTAAGCTTTTAAGCTTTTAAAAAGCATATTTTTCTGCAAAAAGAGCTGCTTCATACACCATCCTTCTCCTCTATATACTTACCAAAAATAAAGGGAAATCCTCTCTAAGATTTGTGCTACTAAATCATAACATTGTGATTATCTTTCAATAAAATTCAGTCATGAGAGGCCAACACTAGCAGCTAGGCATTCTGCCTTTTTCTAGATTAATGAGAATGAAGAAAGTCTTTTGCTAGAGCTCAAGCAGCTACATTAATGTATACTAAAGGAGTGCTGCAGACACTTGGTTTTGTCCATCTGTTTCTAAGCACTC